TATTGCAATGGAATTCATATATGATAATTCTAATTTTGTCGTTTAGAATAGAATAGAAATAGAGGTCTTTTGACTTCGATTTTACAGTTTTTTAAAGAATGCCTGCGCATATATAACTAGTGAATGCCCCGTTTGAATGGTTATATATAGAATAGTTAATAATTTGTAACCATTTATATTGTATAATTTATTTTTTTTTAAAGTCCCGCTGGGATTCTTGCTGGTTCTTCCCAAGACAGAGGTTTTTTTCCGAACAAAATCCGTGGTAGAGTAAAAAAAAAATACTGAAGGGACTGCAGCGATGCCAGTCTAATATTGTTCTATTTTATTAAGTAATTCTTATTGAAAGTATTTTTTTTGTTTTTTTCAAGTTGACTGTCGATATATCGAAGTGCTGAAGTGCTTGTACAGTAGGGACTCGATGGCTATCCGAGTACAGAACCAGAGTACGAAACCTATCCAACTGCAGCGAGGTGTAAGACAGGGTGACGTTATTTCCCCGAAACTCTTCACCGCTGCATTGGAAGACGTTTTCAAGCTTCTGGACTGGAAAGGATACGGTATTAACATCAGCAGCGAGTACATCACTCACCTTCGATTTGCCGACGATATATTCCTTATGGCAGAATCGCTGGAGGACCTAAGCACTATGCTCAATGACCTCAATAGTGCCTCCCAACGGATAGGTCTTAAGATGAACATGGACAAAATAAAGATCATGTATAACGTGCATGTCACACCTATGCCGGTAGTTGTTGGGAGCACTAAGCTCGAAGTTGTTGACGAGTATGTTTACCTGGGACAAAGAGTCCGACTAGGTAAGTTCAATTTCGAACGAGAGGTCAATCGACGGATTCAACGCGGCTTGGCAGCGTTCGGAAAATTAAGGCACATCTTCTCGTCAGGTGTACTTCAAAACTTGAAAACGAGACTGTACAACCAGTGCATGTTGCCAGTGATGACATATGGAACTGAGACGTGGTCCTTCACTGCTGGCCGTATGAGGAAGCTCTAGCTTAGTAAGCTGAAGTGGTAATGGGCCGGCAATATAGCTTGAAGAACCGACAACCGATGGAGAAAAAAGGTTCTCGAGTGGCGGCCTCGTACCGGCGGACGAAGTGTAGGGCGTTTGACGGCTCCGTGACTCAGTGGCTTAGCAATGAGTTGCTGCGCTGGGGGGCGCGGGTTCGAATCCCGCACGGAACATTTGTATGGCCTACAAATAATTGTTCCGGGTCTGGATATTTGTCCTTGTGCAATTTGTGTTTGTAAACTGCCTCCACGATACAGGAGAAAATTCTAGTGTGGGGGTAACGTTTTTTTTTTTAAAGAAAAAGAAAGAAAAAAGAAAGGGCGTCCCCCCACTAGATGGAGGGACGACCTGGTAAGATATGCAGGAAGTCGATGGATGCAGGTGGCTCGGGACCGTGCTTGTGGCATTTCTTGGGGGAGGCCTATGTTCAGCAGTGGACTTGTGAAGGGCTGTAATGATGATGATGATGATGTTGTATATTGGATAAAAAATATTCTATTCTAATCCCGGGTCGGCTCTAATTTGGATCTATCAAGAAATTCTCAGTAACAACCTGGATTCAGGAAGTTGGTTTTGTTTCACCCCCGTGCCTCGGAAAGCACGTAAAGCCGTTGCTCCTGCGCCTGATCTCTCTCCAGTCGTGTCGGATTACTGTCCCATCGGACTATGAGAATTTTGTATTGAGAATGAGGGAATAGAAAATGCATCAGCATATACGTGGCCATTATAATCTTGTCCTGTGCAGATTCGGTCTGATGGACATTATAATTATATGTATATCATTTGTACGTTTGTACGTTCTTTAGAGTACTTTATTCTGTCTCGCATATCTCGAAAACAAATAACGATATCGACTCGTAAACTACCGTAATTTGATCGCCGCGTAATTGCATAACGAATATCCGATTAAGTTTTGGTTACTATCGATTCTGTAGTCTTATTTTTTTATAAACAAGGAAATATCCTAATTAGAATTAGTCACCAACAGAGAAGTTACTAGTTATGGCAAATCGAATCGACCTAATTTTTTTTTTAAACAGCTGAAGTCCGGTATTGAATGTACATTTAAAAAAAGTTTTTTTTTTCAGGAATAAACTTTGAAATGGTAACCATTTAAATAGGTACTTATATTAATGTCGGACCGTAACGGAAGCGGATGCCTGCTCTATATAATTACATAGCTGTTTACTGTCGGCGTGACTTGCCTATTAGCTCGCATTCGGCAAATTGCTGAGGAATCTCTAGTTTACTTTCATACTTAATCACGTTATAATGTTCCTATATAGGGAAACAATACGTAAACGTTTATTTAATAGAACAAGTGTGTTTTATAGAACGAGCTGGCCCATAGACGTATACATCTATCTTCGATTAAGAATCCAAAATCTGCCCTCAAGACTAAAATGGAATGCCATGTTTCCAGTAAAAGGGTGTACCCTTTTACTGGAAACATGGTACAGGTTGTTTACTCACTTTACGAAACGCAGCAGTATTAATTGCTGTTATATTACGATGGAATTTTATGAGAGTGTGGTCCTACCGCGATCAAGCCGGCCGTGGATGCTGGCCCATAGAAACAAAAACAAGCCACTGAAGGTCGGTCTTCGTGTGACGAGGTTGGTGAGGAAACTATGAATGTATGTAGATCAAGTGCTGTATTTGAGAATGGGAGTATTTACATAATAAAACTATTCAACTGACTTACACACAAAATAATATTACATACTATAATATAGAACTAGACTATAAACTGAATCAGCCCAACGGATCTGTAAGCTGAAGTGACAATAGACTGGCCATATAGCTGAAAGGACCAACAACCCATGGGAAAAAAAGGTTTTCGAGTGGTAGTCTCATGGTAAGAGCAGTGTAAAGTGTCCCCCCACTTGCAGGTGCCCCAGGACTATGTTTTGTGGCATTCCTTGGGGGATGCCTATGTTGAGTTTGGACTTGTGGAGAGCTATAACTAATGATGATGAAGAACAAATAAACATAAACACTCACACAGGTCACCCAGACAAGTAGGCAGAGACTACGGACTTCCATTTGGCACGATCCTGACACACCTCTCTCGCCTCCTCTACATCCATATATCTATGCATACATGATCATGATATATAGCCTAGACTTTTTTTATAGAATAATGATAACAAACAAGCACACAGTCCACCTGGATAGTAAGTGGATGCTGTGACCTATAGACATCTACATCTATCATCGATTAAGAATCAAATTGCAAATGTTGTATCAATCTTGAAGACTAAGATGGAATGTCTCGTTTTCAGTAAAAAATGGTCTCTGGTTCTCTACTCACACCATACAAAATGCTGGTATTCTGTGAGTGTGGTCCTTTCCTGGTTCAGCCTACCCATTCTGCAGCATGGCTCTACCACATATAAAATTTGTTATGTCATTCAATTTAAGAATTACGATATTAAATGAAATCATAGCAGTAAACCATATTTACAGTGAGTCATTAGACAGCTTTATCTAACTAACTCTACACTCTTGCAATAACTATAAAAGTTTACTGTACTTGACAACATGACACATGACAGAAACTAGATAAATATAAATGCCCAACGCTAACAAGACATTACAAATGTTGAGGTGTGTATGAGCATGATGTCAGTGCAAAGTATACGCTTCACTGCTTATAATAGAGGTGCTCAACTGTAAATACAGATAGCTAGCAAATTCCTTGGACCATGCTATCAGAGCTGATAAGCACATTTATTCAGGTCAATATCTACTGATAACGAAGTACAACTTCTTAATGTTATCAGTAGTTATAACAGACTTAGTATTATGTACATGTTCTTACTGTACTTAATATGTAGTTTTTACCCAACAACTCCAGAAGGAGGGATTGTTTTCGAGTACATAAAAAACTGCAGATGCCAACCCTCCTGCAAAGCGTAATAACTGTCAAATATGCCCTCTATAGGGCAATCTGTAAGAGGAATAATGGGATGAGAATATGTTCCGTAGTGGACTTTTGATAAGCTATAACAGTAATAAATCATATCAATATTATATCAATACAACTAAAGCTGTCAAACTAATAATGGGGCATAACTTATTTATATACTACAAACTAAAATATCTCAATTCAAAACAAAGCCAGAGCTGATCAGTACTTACAACATAAAATCAAATATGTAGTTTAGCTAAACATACTGAGCAAATGTGCCACACACTATCACAATGTATATATGGTTTATCATGGATTCATAGTATGATAAACAAATTTGAATGGGTTTAAATGTAGGTAAATATATTGCATATATGACGCAACACAGGCATCCCATTTTAATATTAGACTGACCAGTACCATACTAAAAATTTCAAAATTGATTCAGTACAACATACCCTTAAGCTGAACACTCTAACTTAGGTTTAAGCTTGAGATTGCTTTGTATAATAGTCATAAGCCTATATTAAGTGATAATTTCAAGTTAAAACCAAACTACACAATGTTGAAATTTAAGTCTGGACCATATTACTATGTAAATTTTGACATTATGAGGTATAAGTTTGAACTTGCAATTATATCTCAATATCGACCACAGAGCAATATGAAATAAGTATTAATAAGGTTCGAAGGTAACTAGCGAAATAAAATACCCGTAACATATGAATTCCAAATATTATCTTCTTATCCTAAAATAATAGATGCTTTTTATCTATGCTTATGAAAATCTGCCTTGTGAAAATGTGTTAAGTGCTACTAACACATTAATAAAATTCCGCGTTAATGTTATATATTTCTGAATTTGGTTTGTAACATAATCAACTTTCAAGTGTTTGGTAGGAAAGAGATTAAATTATGCTTTAAACATAATACAGCTTGTAAGTTTTATGAATTTTGGAAACATTTTAAGGAATTGTGTAATTCAAATACCTTTCAAAAATATTAAGCACAAATTAACAATACAAATAGGAATCATATAAGAAGAGCACTTACCTTTGATCAGAGGCTCTGTGACAACGTTTGTATCCTCCTGCGGTATCATATCCATTAGTTTTGCTATGTCAATTGCCAGCATTTGGTCTACAACCTCTAGTAATTTTGGTTTTAGAGGATGGAATTTTGTAAAGTCATGATTAGCAAGTGTCTCTTGCATTTTCTTTATGTCGGGGAAGTCACCAGGCGAAATCTGCTGCTCTCTTTGGATACGGTCATATACCTGACCGAGGTTCTTTATTAAATCCTTCTTCTTACCATCTTTTCCAAACATTGAGGGCATTTCTTTTCTTAACTCACTGACAATGTATGCATGAACTTTCGCAAGCCTAGCCCTTTTAATCAAGTCATTCAGCTTACGTAATGCAGCATTTCTTGGAAGAGACTGCATATCTCTAAAGAGATCTTGCTCTTCATCTTCAAACAAACGCCTGTTAACATCATATCGAAGCGGCTGATCCCAGAAAGAACCAATGTAGACACGGGCCACCTCAGGTGTTTGCAGCACCTTTCCCAATGACCACATAAGTGCACCATATACCCGCATCAACTGCTGGTGATCAATCATATCTGCTTTGTTTAACACAATTCTAATCTTATCATCATGACCTCTCAATGCTTCAATACTTCTCCTAAACTCGTCAGAAATGTCGAGTTTGTGAGCATCAAATAATAATATAATTCTATCTACTCGTTCTGCAAACCACTCTAATACACCAGTAAAATCATAGCCACGGTCCACACGCTGCTTCTCTCCAGATAGAATTCCAGGTGTATCTACAATCGATATACCACGGAGAACAGGAGAAGTAACAGTAGAACACTGGAATCTGTTTAAGAAGGCGTTGCCAAACTTACTAAGAGGGCGGAACTGTTTCTTTGGGTCGACAACCAGCGCGTTCCCAGGTATAACACCTTCTTTTTCATCATACATAACAGCTATAAATCGATCAGTTGTAGGCTCTGGTCCTATCCTAATGCCGGGGAAATCACGCTCAAGAAGGTATTTAATAAAGGTCGTTTTACCAGTTGAGTATTGACCTACCAACAATATCATCGGTTTTGCATCAAAATCGGGCTCTTCGAGCTGAGGTGAGTGAAAATCGTGAAACTGATAATGCAATTCGAGGGGTAAAAGCTTAGTTTTGTAAATTCTTTTCAACCCTTCGACGACATTGTCGATACTTTCCGTCTTTTCGCCTTCCTTCCTTAGCCAGCTAAACATTTTTGTGATAGTACGTAAACTATCTTATTGTCAACAAGAACGTATAGGCACTTATTCACGCACTGCACCACTTAATAAAATAATAAAGAATTTTATTAAAAATACAGCAAGACCATCACGATCACACTCCTGTCGTTGAAACGTTGAATTAAAAATGAAATATGACGCAGAATGACGTGTGTGGCCTCTGACGTGACGTGACTACATCGGTGTTACAATATTACTATAATCTTTATGACAGTTACCTATCAGTTATTATACATTTTACTATACATACTATGTTATAAAATTTTAAGTTTAATTCGTCATTATGTACCTTTACCAATTTACTAAGCTCCCTATGAAAGTTATGTGGTGGTCCAAAATAATATGATTTATATAATTGTTGATCTAAAATATATATTTAAAAACTATTATTATTTTAGATCAACTTTTAATTAACATTCAAATATACCATTATAATATCTTCAAAATGCTAAAATTACTCAATAAGGTAGGAATAATTAAATAATAATAAGTTAAGTATGTAGGTTTTTTTAAAATATTATAGTGTTTTTATTCCTTCGTATCTTCATAAATTATTAATTACTAATAAAAGCGTAGAGTAGGTACCAAGTTTAGCTGAATAACCAAAGAGTATAATAACTGTCATAAACAGGAACTACTGTTAGTAAATTATGTACCACTATTACTAATTTTAGTGTCTTATATATGGCTAGTACTTCTTAAAGCTAGCTTGGCCGGGCTTAAGCTGAAGTTAACTCTCCGAGATATTCACGTGTTTACAGTCCAAAGTCAAAAGGCGGAACCAGGGCTCCAAAGTCTTTGCTAGAGATCTGTCTTCAGCTTTGACAGAGCCAACTGTCAAAGCTGAAGATCGAGTGTAGCAGCGTCGTTTCCGGGACATCTAAGAATTTGAGTGAGAGATAGAGGTTCTACGGGCAGCTGTACATATCGTCGTTGGAGCCACATGCAAGTGTGAATAACGGTCCAAGAGAAAGTCTTATTCGACACTATTCCGATGATATTCCGGAGGTCAGTCTAAGCAAGATTAGAATGGTTCTCCAGCACCTTAAAAACGGCAAGGCCCCAAGCGAGAATGGAATTACAGCGGAGCTTCTGAAAGCGGGTGAGAAACCGGTACTTAAAGTCCTTCAGAAGCTCTTTAATTCCGTCCTCCACGGTGGCACTACACCGGAGGCGTGGGTCAGAAGTGCGGTGGTCTTGTTCTTCAAGAAAGGCGACAATGCTCTCTTGAAGAACTACAGACCGATTTCCCTTCTGAGCCGCGTCTACGTGATGTTTTCGAGAGTCATTACGAATCGTCTCGCACGCAAACTTGACGACTTCCAGCCTCCCGAACAAGCCGGTTTCCGAAAAGGCTTTAGTACCATAGGCCACATCCAAACCCTACGGCAGATTGTACAGAAGACAGAGGAGTATAATCTGCCACTTTGCCTTGCGTATGTGGACTACGAGAAAGCCTTTGATTCCGTCGAAATTTGGGCGGTGCTGCAGTCCCTTCAGCGGTGCCAAGTTGACTGTCGGTATATCGAAATGCTGAAATGTTTGTACAGTAGAGCTACGATGGCTATCCGAATACAGAATTAGAGTACGAAACCTATCCAACTGCAGAAAGGTGTAAGACAGGGTGACGTTATATCCCCGAAACTCTTCACCGCTGCATTGGAAGACGTTTTCAAGCTACTAGACTGGAAAGGATGCGGTATTAACATCAATGCCGAGTACATAAGCACTATGCTCAATGACCTCAATAGTGTCTCCCAACGGTTAGGTCTTAAGATGAACATGGACAAAATAAAGATCATGTATAACGTGCATGTCACACCTATGCCGGTAGTTGTTGGGAGCACTAAGCTCGAAGTTGTTGACGAGTATGTTTACCTGGGACAAATAGTCCGACTAGGTAAGTTCAACTTCGAACGAGAGGTCAATCGACGGATTCAACTCGGCTGGGCAACGTTCGGAAAATTATGGCACATCTTCTCGTCAGGTATACTTCAAAACTTAAAAACGAGACTACAAACAGTGCGTGTTGCCAGTGAGAACTTATGGAACTGAGACGTGGTCCTTAACTGCTGGCCGTATGAGGAAGCTCAAGGTCGCTCAGCGAGCTATGGAGAGGGCTATGTTCGGGGTTTTTCTGCGTGATAAACTTAGAAATGAGGATATTCGCAGTAGAACCAGAGTAACCGACATAGCCCAACGGATTAGTAAGCTGAAGTGGTAGTGGGCCGGCCATATAGCTCGAAGAACCGACAACCGATGGGGAAGAAAGGTTCTTGAGTGGCAGCCTCGTACCGGTAGGCGAAGTGTAGTGCGACCCCCCACTAGATGGAGTGACGACCTGGTAAGACATGCAGGAAGTCGATCGATGCAGGTGGCTAAGGACCGTGTTTTGTGGCATTCCTGTGGGGAGGCCTATGTTCATGCGTGGACATATGAAAGGCTGTAATGATGATGATGATGATTATATATTAGTGATTGAAATTTTAATTAAACTCACTGTTGGATTTAGATAAATTATTGAAAATAAATATTTCATAATTGACCTTGAATAAGCAATAAACGTGAAATGTTTATTTCCAGTAGTTTAACGAGTTTTAAAATTTGGAAAAGTATGAACAAGATCACTTGGGATGTCATCTGCTCTACCTCCCAGTGTATCATCGTTCATATACCAGACATTCAGTTTGGATTTCAAATTTAAAACAATGGGTTGAATTGCTAAATTGAAATGAACTGGGTCTAGGGGGCACCCTGCTGAACACCGAGAGCAGAATGATGATTTCATTTTCGCAAAACAAGGTAGTAAAATTGCCAAACGTCATGATAAATTTCGGGGATATATTTTGTCTCTTTTTTCAGCTGGTTTTCCGTATCAATAGTGTTAAAAGCAGTCTTTAGGTCAACCTTAACAAGAACATCTACATCAGAGTATCGCCGTGCGTGAAGTTAGCAGCTATTAGGTAATGTAATGTTAACCAGGGACCTACTATGAAAATCGAGATAGGATCTTTCGGGTCACTAACATGTTTCAGATCCGAAGATCGGTCCGAAATTCGCGATTTGACACTTTTAGTCATTGACACTACTTCGAAATGCAGCCTTTGATCTGTGTAAACATAGATCCACATAACACTACGGATCTATTCACAGTCACAATAATAACTACTTGCTTACTAAAAATTTGTTTAGTAAGATATTTACAGATTTTTGAGAGAGGGTGAATGGTAGTTTAAGAAGTTGGATCACACCTAGATTTACATTTTGCGTGGCCACTTCACTGTCTGGCTTTATACAGTGAATGTTAGTATCAAATTGCTATTTCCAATTCATTCATTTATCACAACCTATCCAAATCTACTGCTAACGTAGGGCTCTGCACAGATTGCCTCATAAGAAGAATATTTGCCATAGTTGCCAACAGAAACAGAAACAGAAACTTTTTTATTCAATTTAGATTATAATACTTATTGGAAATCACTCTTATGTTTAAATTACCTTAGCATGCCAACCTTAGTATTTATTTTCTGGTTGTTATTATAAAGACGCGGCTGCCATCACCTAATTTCTTTTCGTCTTTCACCTCTTACGACACCCACGGGATCATGTAGGTTGGTAGATAGATATTCTAACACCAACACAACATGGTTGACAGTGTTAATTCAGTCATAATAATTTGTACAAATATTTCTCTATACATAAAAATATGGAATTTTCAAAAATGAAACACGTTAGATTTTAAATTGTGTACATTTTTAATAAATACTATTATCAACAACTCTAAAATCAAACTAAACAATTACAAATGTCATTATAATCAGTAATCACTTAATAACCGAATTCAAAAAGAAAGAAGTTCTTAATTCGTATGTATGTTCTTTTTTTTGTATGTATGTTATGCTTTAGCTTCGCAGATTGTAAACCAATTTTAATGATTATTTTGAAGTTTAGTACTTTAGGGGCATTTGGAAAAGATGATGAGAGTGAATTTTTACAATGCACGCGCACACCGGCACCTAAAAGCGGCAACTTCAGTGGGTTCTCTCTCATGCTTTTTTGTTTTGTTACGCTTAATAAGTATAACTTCCTACGTGCGGTCATAAGTACACACACACTTTTTTTTATTAAATAAGTTATACTTCAAGAGTGGTCCCATATAAAAGAGAAAAAATTCCACCCCTAATGGTAGCAAATAAATAACTTCTTTATTTAATAATTTGAAGTCAGTTTTTACTTTGTGTTATAATTATTAAACATTTTTTAATCAGCAATTTTTACAATTTGTGTTCTTAAAATTTGAATTATATGACTTTAGTATATTATTTTTCTACTTAACAATTTTACTTGTATTTTCAATGCATGATGAATTCTAATCTCAAAATTAAGTATTGATGATTTAAAACTTCCAATGAGTTAATTTATCTTGTCGGCAAAAAAAAATCAGCGTTAAAATATTTTGACCACAGCCTCGCACGTTTTGGTTGATAAACTAGACTGTTTCGTTTTGTAGTGAGAATGCACCCACCACTGTAATCAGGCGTAACTTAATGAAACACATGTCGATTTTATTTCTTAAAACCAATAGATTACAATAGTAATATTAGTTTTACCAGATCTAACGGGAATGCTGAGAAATTAACAATTAAAATATGAGTATCACAATAACCTAAAAACTAACTAAAAGCGTTTGTCTTGCAGTTTTCACCGGTATTATAAGTTAAAATAATGCACTGGTCGGTAATTAATAGTATAAAAGAAAGTTGTAATTCACTATTTATAGGTACTGTCAGATTGATGGAATTTTATTTTAGGAGTTCGTTCTTCTTTATACGCCTTTTTATTCATATTACATTAGCCAATTCACGAATATCAAAAGAACTTTTTTTTACTGGTAATACGATTCCGGTTACATTTTCATAAAATCTTTAGGCCGTTTACTAAATAAATTATATCTTTTTTATGTATAATAAAATTAAGTTACGTTAAAGTTTCTAGTGGACCCAAAAACGATTGTCTACTTTCAAGACTGTTCATATCCGTGCTTATTGTTCATACTCCATTACGCGTCTCTATAGCTTGCTTATGTATACTCTAAGTTCTGTGGTCTCTAATCTCTAATTCTAGTGGTAAATAAAAAAAAATCATTCAATAACTATTACGTAATAATCAAAATGAATTGAATAAAAATCATTCTATTCTATTTTATTCTATGGACTTGAGAATAAATTATCCACAAACTAATAAGAAGTACTAGCGCAAAAAAATCGAATTAACATGACGTGTTTTTCTAATTTTCAATAATTTCCTATGTCCTCTTGGTAGCAGGTAGTCTGTGTTTCATACACAAACTATATAGAAACACGTTTCATATTATGATTGATTCCTATTTCATATCCTTAATATCTTATAAATAAAGTTATTTTATTTTTTAATTAAATATATAACTAATTGTTAAAAAAATACAAAAAATAACTAACTAAAAGGTTTTACAGAATATTAAAAAAAAAACTATAATAAAGAAAAACTAAAACTAAAAATTAATTAATCTCTTATACTAAGGTACTCTATAAACAATAAGCATGGGAGATTTTGGTAGGCTCAGAAGGGCTAGAATCCAGAGCCGTAAAGCCAGTTTATAAAAAAAGGAGACTTTGGCGGGAACTTGACCGGGGGCGTATTGCTCCTTCTGTATTATTGTTTAAATAATAGTTTGAAGTTGATTATGATAGATAAAAGTGGGGCAATTTTGTGTATCAAATATCTGAGCATATGACCTATTAGTGAAAACTATGAAAAAAGTGCACCGATGGTGATGTGAATCTCAAGATCAGATAATGTGTCTGTCTGCTTAGGCGCCATGAAATAATATCGCCAACTATCTGCTGGCTCAAGTTCCCTTCAAAATCTCCCAAGAACTGTGCAAGTGACGCATCAACATAATATTGTAAACTATACTATAAAGGAGTATTATCACTTGATACTGAGATTAAAGAAAACATGGCTTAGAAGATAAGCATCCAAGCCAAAAATTCCTAACTATAAAGAAACAAGTGGAAACAAGAATGATCATGACGTCATGACATGTGATTGTGATCTCATTTTGATTATATAGTAAAAAAAATTAGTATACATTTATGTAACAATTAAATAAATATCTTAAAACGATGACGATATTTCACGACGAAATAGAAATTGAAGACTTTGATTATGACGATGAAGAGGAAATGTACTATTATCCATGTCCATGTGGTGATAGATTTCAAATCAGTAAGGTTAGGTACTGTCATAGACGTAAACAATACAAATATTTTTGCCACTGATTTATTAGTGTTTACCGTTCCATTCTCTAATAGTAAATAATAAGAAAATGCACTTTTAGGAGGAGCTTATGGCCGGGGAAGAGGTAGCAACATGTCCAAGTTGTTCACTTGTCGTGAAGGTTATTTATGATCTGGTAAGTTTAAATGTTATTTTACAATTTAAACAACGCTGGTGTGAAAAAAGAACTACAGAATATAACCCAGTGTTGATTCCAAAAGATTTTGCTTTTTTAGCTTTTTGTTTTTGGATTTGAATCATCAGAATTAATCATAGATGATGGGAAAGAACCTACATGAACTTGGGAGTTAAACTACCATTCCACGTTTGCCGGACTCTTTAAGGATACCTTAATCAGAGCTGAGTAAATCAGAGATAACTGAGATCTGAATAAACAGGCAATAGTTTTTAGGTCCTCGCATCATGTTCAAGTTTTTAAATTACATCATTTGAATACAGAGGCAACAATTTTCTGCTGGATAAAAGTGAGCTTGTTCGTTATTGAAACAGGTTAATTGATAAAGTAAAGAAATGCTGCTAGTTTACTCTTTAACACATGTGACCTACTGATTATGGATGGTATTAAGCCATACTAGTATTCATAGAAGTGTTTAATATTTAATAAATTACTGAACTTTAACAAAATATTGAAGGAAACATCTTTAAAACTTCATTAACCGAATGGCTACAAAACTAAGTGTTTTTATAATTTAAATGAAATAATTAGAATTAATGTAATTTTAGGTTAGCTAGTACATATTAATTAAAATTTGCATGTCTGCTTGCAGAGTATACACAATACTAGGCAAATATAACTTTAACATCATCAAATTGTATATTTGCAAATAAATTTATTCTATTTTAGCTTTTCTTCCTTTATCACCCTGTAAAAGCTCAGTTAGCCAATCATAGGCACCGTGTTGTAGGGAGGATTTGCTCTAAATGTCAAGCTTGGCAGGCGAATATACAATTGCATTGCCTGATGTATTGCACCTTTGAAGCTGTTGCCAATTGCCAGCCTGGGCATTTTACAAATCCAAGTTAATAATAGTTAATTGCTAAAGTGCTGATTGACAGGTTCATTCATTTCACAATTATTGCAAATATTTTTATAGTAGTATAATATAATTAAGTTTCTAGTTTGTATTTTTTTATTATTATAGTTTTTAATGTTGTATATAATTAAATATAAAGTAAAAAAAAAAACTTGTTAAGCTTTTTTTGTATTGGAAATGAAAATCAAACTGATTAGTATTTGCAGGAAAAATTCAAAGCTGAAGCTGAAGAAGTATGTAATGAGGAGGGCAATAAAGAAGTTGTGAAGGCTTAGATGATTAAAGTCTGGCAGAAGTCAGAAACTATGTGAGAAATGCACATAAAGTGGAATTGTCAAACAATTGTACAGATGTAAATTGCAGTGGAGTTGAGGACCAGTGCATGAATGTAAAATAGTTCTTGCTGTGATTAACAATGGTAAATGTAAATAAAAAAAAAACATTATATGTATATAATTTATTGTACAATTACATAGTGATTGTCAATACATAATATTGTTTTTACATTTTGTTTTATTTTGTGAAGCACTAATAGTTTACAATTCCAAATAAAATATTACATTATATAAAATAAAAGCTTCCTTTAATTAATAGTACAAATATTTAATTTTAAACCATAATCAATTTCTATTTATATGTTTAGCAATATAATAAATAAATTTTACTAACTTATAGAAAACTATAAAATGCACTTTGACTAGCTAGAATGTACTTCCATTTAACAATACTACACTGATGTCTGATAAATCCAATTACTGAGCTACTTCAATATATTGTCATGTCAAGTATACAATGTAATGAAAATGTAGAAACCTAAGTAGATAAAAAGGTCTAGGGTATAAATACATCATTCATGCAATATTTAACACATTTTGCTATGATCTGGATATGGTAATTGTATATTTTCCCAACATACATTTTATTTTATTTAAATTATAAAAAATATGCTACCATTGACACTGCTGCCAATACAATGCTTTTAAGGAAGGAACATTGTGCTATAACATCATAGAAGTTAAGAATAAAAATTTGCATTAAAATAATATACTTTAAATAATATATTTATCAATTCAATATCATTGCCACAAACACATTCAAATAAACTTGATTCAATTGAGAGCCTTTTTGAAGCTTTCCTTACTTGTCAAATTTTACAATTCTATTACATAATACATTATTGAACATTGTCTTATTTTAAAGAAAAATGTTCCACTGGATTTCTTTCCTGTTATTTTTTCTAAGAAAATTAAACATAAGAATGGCTTTCAATAATAATTATATATAATTTAAATTGATTATGAAGCATTCCATTTATATTTCCATTTTAGCGGTTGGAACATGCATTACATTCCAACATAAACTTATGAAGTAGTTAAACGCACATATAATTTAATAAAAGCAAATTACCACCAGGCATATTGGAATGTCACAGTTTTTAACACCTAATATAATAATTAAATATTTGAAATGTCATATTGAAGTCAAATTGAAATATTTAAGGTATTATAATAATAATAAGTCCAGCTATCAGATAAGACAAAATACTTATTATTTTCTTAAAACACTAAAACACAAGTCAAAAAAATATCACAATAAAATTTGGTCATAAACACAAATCACAATATTATGAACTTTAGTTATTTTTCAAATACTGCATACAAAGGACAATGATCCTTATTAAGTCTACTAAGTTTATGTGCATATAAGTATTAAAAGTAATTAATAATATATCGCAGTAACAAAATCTTTTACTTTATGGCAAATACACTATACTGCAATTATACTAGCTATAGATTCTTAGCTTAATTATGCAGCGCGAATGGGAAGGCTTGACTGATTTAGGACTACATTCACAGAATACCAGCTTGAAACAGCAGAGTCCTGCTGAGTTTTGTATGGTGAGTGTATGAGAACCAGAGACTTTTTACTGGTGGCGAGGCATTCAATCTTTGTCCTTACGGGTGGCAATGTATTTGCCTATGCATGGTATTTGGACAACATCATAACATCCACTTAACATCAGGGCGACCATGTGGTTATTCCCCCCCATTCTATAAAAAAATTATTAATAAATCTGCCACATTGTGTCCAAATTTCAATGGTGAGATCATACTTTTTTAAAAGGATAGATTTATAAAATATGAATATAAAATTATAATATTACATTCAACTTAAAATGTTATTCTATTTTTGTGCTTAAACTAGTAAATTTTATAAATAACATTGCAGTAAGTACATCCATATTTCTTTTATTACTTTAAACGATTCATAGATTTTTAGGTAAAAATTGTTTTGGACAAAATTGTAGTTTAAATATTTAATTGCTTACAGTATGAACTACATGACTTTTTAAAGAGAGGCTGGCTTTAATTACCGATAGAGTAAATTAAGATGGTATAATTTATAGAATTCCTCAGTAAAATATTAAGCGATAACACAGGCATTTATAAACAAATGTTGGCAATTGAAAACAAGAATACATAAACAGAAAATATTTTTTAATTGTTTATATTTTTTTTTACATGTGGTAGAGCCATGCCAGGCAGAACCAGGGAACGATGACATAAAAGAGCCTTTTAACTGGAAACGAGGCATTCCGTCTTAGTCCTCACGGGTGACAAAACATCTGCATTTTGATTCTTAATTGAAGATAGACATAATTGTATATGTCAGTCACACCACAGCGTCCACTTACCATCAGGTGAACTGTGTGCTCATTTGTCACCCTTATTCTAATTAAATTTTTACATTTACTATGTTTTAGTTAGTAGTAAGCTTCAAAGGCAGTATCATATCTGTTGATCATAGTATGCAGGCTTTAGTTATAATGGCAAGTGTGTATTTGTCCAGTTGAGGTGGAGGGGGGCGAGTAGAGTTTGTGACAGGCGTACTCCTATGAGGGTGGCGTGGAGAGCGGTGGAGCGTGCGGTGTAGCGTGGGACGTAGCATGCGACGTAGCGTGGGACGTAGCATGCGGCGTAGCGTGTGACGTAGCGTGAGGCGTAGGGAGTGACGTAGCATTAGGCGTCGCGTGTGATATAGCGTGGGGCGGAGCGTGTGACGTAGCGAGGGGCGGGGCGTGTGACGTAGCGAGGGGCGGGGCGTGTGACGTAGCGAGGGGCGGGGCGGGCACACTGAAGTGGCGTACGGCAGCTTCTAACGCCACGTTGTTGCCACTGAAGTACGCGGATACCGCGTTGTGGAATAGCAGTAGCTGCTTGTTCATAACCTTCACCTGAAACCAAACACGTTTGCGACGTCAAAAATATTCTTCTTTTCTTTTGATTCTTGGTTTCGATGAGACTGTATAATTAATTTTTCTTTTAATAAAATGTATATATAACGAGTTTTCTCTAAAGTAATAGGACTAATTTTGAGTCATTGATGCGGGTGGCACTGCCCACTGTAATACCCACACTATGTTTGTAGCTTACTTAATTGGTTCATAAAGTTCACAGCTGGACCTAGGTTTCTTTTATTGTAAGGAGGATTTGTCTTATTCTAGTCAGATTTACTGACGATTGCAGTATCAGACGTCTTATATCTCTCACACCGTTGCTCGTTGCCGTTATACCGCTATCTATAGGTAGAAGGTCGAGGGTGGTTGGAGGGTAGATGGTGGGTGGTGGAGGTAGAGAATAGAGGGTGAATAGTGCAGGGTAAAGGGTGGATGGTGGAGAGTAAGGGTGGAAGGTCAATGGATGTGAAATGCAGAGGGTGGGTGGTGGAGTATTGATTGTGGATGGTGGAGGGTAAAGGGTGGTGAAGGGTAGAGGGTGTTGGTGAAAGGTAGAGGGTGGCAGGTGGAGGGTAGGTGGTAACGGAGGATAGAGGGTGGATGTTGGAGGGTAGAGTGGATATAGTGGAGGGTAGAGTTTGATGATGGAATGTAGCGGGCGGGTTGCGGGTTGGACGCAGCACGCACCCGGTTCTCGTGCAACAGCTGCAGCTTGACGGCGGAGTCGTCGCGCAGGCGCTCGTAGTGGCGGCGGTGGCGCTCGATGCTGGCCAGCAGCAGCTCGCCCGGGCTGCCGCCGCTCGCCTCCAGCTCGCTGCGGTACGCGTCGTACTCCACCCTGCAGTACACGTTTATACGTTTTTTACGTGGTAGAGTCGGGTACATTTATACAGGCTGTCCCAGAAATCGACATCAAGGTGGAAACGGTTGATAGGCCAAGATAATTATTAGAAAAATAAAATAAATTTAACTCCCGTTACTACATACATTTTTTTTAATTTTTTTTTTATTATGTAATCGCGATCGTGAATAATGCTTAGTTGTTGCCTAAAATTTGAAGCCTACAGCTCCAACTTGGAAGAAAATTTCACTTTTAGCCCATCTAAGTATTCAAAGTGAATACTTCGTCCAATTTTAACCGGCTGTACTTAAAAAATGTTACGATAATTTGGCAAGTAAGTTAAAAAGTTGGCGCATTTGATAAAGATTCCAAAATGGTATGACACCTCCTAGCTTATTTCTTGGAAATTTTTTATTTTGTAAATACCTAGTTTTGAACACTTATTTGTTATTTAAAATTATTCTAGTGAGACCAAGGCTTTCCCCACAGCCGTAACTTTAAGATTCTAGTTTGAATGAGAGGAAGAGTCATTTTATGAAGTACGAGCGAGACAGATAGTGACGACACTTTTACTAATGTGTGAGACGGATAGATACACCATTCGATTAGTGCGAGCGAGACAATAGTCACTGTTGTCCATCTTCAGTAACGCACACACAATACAGAGCAGTACGTTACGCTCCGTCGTTTACTGCGCATCTTTCCGTATTCGTTCGTGACGATTTACTACTTACTACGTGAAAACAATTAGGCGCATAACAGCTAAGACGTCATTAGAACTAGGAAGGGAACACCGGAACGATGATTAGTCACTAAGGGAAGTGCGGGCGCCGAAACAGCATTCCTGTCATGTGCCTAATTGTTTTGGACAAGTTGTACCACCTTTTGCTTCGTTTATTGGGCTTGCTTGTGATTTGAATTTGGCCTGTTTAGTATTTCTTTCTGACGAACTTTGGTTTCGCCTGGACTGTCGTTGATCGCGTGATTGTGTAGTACCATCATGTCTGAGTACACTGCACAAGAATATGCCAACATGCATTTTATTTATGGGGAATGCGGAGTCAATGCTGCAGCTTGAGTTTATCGTGAGAGTTACCCAAATGCTGCTCGTCATCCGTATCATCGAGATTTTACAGATGTGCATCGTTTACTCTCAGAGGGCCGATTACCAAACCAAGCACATGGTGAAGTCAGAATTTCCTCTCGTTACGAGGACATTGTACTACAAGCAATCGAAGAAAACTTGAGTAATTCAGTACGTGTAATTTAAGCAAGCACTTGGTGGGCTGTACTTTTGGGTACTGGAGAATCTTGCAAAAAAAGAAATTCCACCCGTATAAAGTGCAGCGAGTACAAATTTACTACCCCGCGATTATCTTCCAAGAGTTGCGTTTTGTCAAATTTTATGGTCTGATGAGTCAACATTTAAAAAAGATGGATGGATGGATAGATGGATAAATCAAAACGTACACGAGTCGCGTGTAGAAAATCCAAATTTGATGAATAAACATGTGAACCGGAATTTTAAATGAAAAAATCATCGTACCTTTTGAGCTGCTAGAAGTCTTGAATGGCGAAGTTTATTTGGATTTTTTACAACATTATTTACGAAATTTGTTGGAAGACGTCATCATCATCATTACAGCCCTTCACAAGTCCACTGCTGAACATATGCCTCCCCCAAGGAATGCCACAAAGCACTGTCCTGAGCCGGCGTCCTGAGGTCATCACTCCATCTAGTGGGGAGACGGCCCTACGGTCAGTTCTTCGAGCTATATTGGCCGGCCCATTGCTACTTCAGCTTGCTAATCCTTTGGGTTATGTCAGTAACTCTGGTTCTACTGCGGATATCCTCATTTCTAAGTTTATCACGCAGAGAAACCACGAGCATAGCCCTCTCCATAGCTCACTGATCTTCCTCATACGGACAACAGTGAAGGACCACGTTTAAGTTTTCCATAAGGTCATCACTGGCAACACTCACTGGTTGTACAGTCTAGTTTTTAAGTTTTGAGGTATACCTGACGAGAAAATATGCCGAGATTTCCCAGCCGAGTTGAATCCGTCCATTGACCTCTCGTTCGAAGTTGGACTTACCTAGTCTGAATATTTGTCCCAGGTAAACATATTCGTCAACAACTGCGAGCTTAGTGTCCCCAACAACTACCGGCATAGGTATGACATGGACGTTACACATGACTTTTATTTTTTCCATGTTCATCTTAAGACCTATCCGTTGGGCGACACTATTGAGGTCATTAAGCATAGAGCATAGGTCCTCCAGCGATTCTGCCATAAGGACTATATAGTCGGCAAATCGAAGGTGAGTGATGTACCCATTACGCCATTGACGTTAATACAGTATCCTTTCCAGTCTAGTAGCTTGAAAAAGCAGCGGTGAAGAGTTTTGGGGAAATAACGTCACTCTGTCTTACACCTCTCTGCAGTTGGATAGGTTTCGTACTCTACTTCTGTACTCGGATAGCCATCGTAGTCCTACTCTACAAACATTTTAGCACTTTGATATACCGACAGTAAATTTGGCACAGCTGAAGGGACTGCAGCACCGCCCAAATTTAGACGGAATCAAAGGCTTTCTTATAGTCAATATACGCCAGACATAGTGGCAAATTGTACTCCTCGCACTTCTGCATAATTTGCTGATGAGAAACCGGATTGTTTGGGAGGCTGGAAGTCGTCGAGTCTGCGTGCGAGACGATTCGTAATAACTTTCGAAAACAGCACGTAGACGTGGTTCAGAACGGAGATCGGTCTGTAGTTCTTCAAGAGAACGTTGTCGCCTTTCTTGAAGAACAAGACCACCGCACTTCTGCTCCACGCCTCCGGTGTAGTGCCACCATGGAGGACGGAATTAAAGAGCTTCTGAAGGACTAAGTACCGGTTTCTCACCCGCTTTCAGAAGCTCCGCTGTAATTCCATCCTCGCCTGGGGCCTTGCTGTTTTTAAGGTGCTGGAGAAACATGCTAATCTTGCTCAGACTGTCCTGCGGAATATTATTGGAATAGTGTCGGATAAGACTTTCTCTTGGATCGTTACTCACACTGGCATGTGGCTCCAACGATGATGTGTACAGCTGCCCGTAGAACCTCTCCATCTCACTCAAAATCTCAGGTGTCTCGGAAACGACGCTGCCACACTCGGTCTTCTGTCTGGCAGACTGATCTCTAGCAAAGACTTTGGAACCCGGGTTCCGCTCGATCGCTTCTTCAATACGTGCTATATTGAAGTTGCGTAAGTCCCGCCGCATGCATTTGGAGATCTGTCTGTTCAGTTGCCTGTACGCTGTCAAATCTGCGGAAGACGGCAGCTTCATTTCCCGTCTAACAGCCATGAGATTAAGAGTGTGATAGGAGAGTTTTTGTGTTCTTCTGAGGCGGGTCTTGGAGAACTTATCCCCGACCGCATGGACAGTTTCCACGAGCTTGTCATTCATATCATCCACTGCATTGTAATGATGAGAGCGACTGGAGGCGAATAATTTGAGATCATCCATATAGAAAACGTGGCTCACTTTTGTACCTTCTTTCCGAAGCTGAAATCCCCTCTCGGAAACCGCCAGTAAGGTAGAGAGGGTTCAGAGAGAGGCAGAACCGGATTGGACTCAAACAATCGCCCTGGAAGATACCCCTTTTTATCCTTATGCTGCAGCTACAGCTCGAGGACCCTTAAGCCATGTATGAGGCATCGAGTCGAATGCTTTTTTGTAGTCTATCCAGGTGGCGGAGAGGTTCCGACGGTTGCGTTTAACCATGTTGCCAATGACCGCGTCAATGAGAAGTGGTTCCTTGGTTTTACGACCACCGCCCGGACATCCATTTTGAGCGCGCGACATCACCTGATTTGAGTTCAGGTGACGAGTGATTCTCGCGTTCAAAATGGATATTAGTGTCTTGTATAATATGGTAAGAAGACACGTTATGGGGCGGTATTTGCTCGGGTCTGTGGTATCCCGGCCTTTAGGAACCAAATAAGTAATCGCAGTAGTGAAGAGGCTCGGGAGACTTGGTCGAGAGCCTCTTGAAACTGTCGGGCGAGCACAGCGTGACCAACCCACGAAGCCCCTTCAGCAAGTAGTGATACAGTCCGTCGAGTCCCGGACTTTTCCAATTCAGGGCCCTACGGACTGCCTCAGCTACGTCATCCGGCGTTATGATGACGGGGTCCATGGGCGTAACATTCGCACACTGACTCGCCACGACTTCCGTCCAAGGGCCCTCGCTGTGAATACGACAGTGTCGATCTGATTCGGTGCTGGGCCCGTTTCATAGAGCCTCTTCTGATCACTCTGGAAGAGACGATTCTGGTGAACCGTGTCCACCTCTCAGTATATCGCCGAATCCGCTTCCCCCAAGCAGCGATTCTCTGCTTCAGATCGTCTATGCGCTCCGTCAGTTTTTGCGTTATATCCAGCTGGGACAAACTGATATTTGTCCCAGCAAACGCCATCCTGACGGTGCGCACAATTCTATTATTGCCTGACATGAAGCTTATCAGTCTGCCGATGAGGACCCTTGCCTTTGCGATACGGTCTTCAATCCTTCTTCTCCAGGCTGGGATAGCGCTACTTTGTCCAGTATCACGTCCAGACGTGGGAAGTTTGGCACCAACAATACGGCAAACTGCCAAAGCGGCGCCAAAGAGTATTGAGTCCGTATCGCAAAGGTCCCGGCTGGATTCCAAAAAGGTTGCCAGCAATGGGTTCACGGCCGTCACGACATCCCGATTCCGCTAGCTTAGTGTTATGCGCGGGAGTCGCGATTGAATTTCGAGAGGCGTGCAGCGCGTTTCCACAATCGCCTCCTCCAATTTACTCCTCATCTGCTCTAGTTCTTGGGTGACCATTCCATCATCGCCCGAATCAACCAAAGCGGGAAGATCCATGGCGGCTTCCACATATGATTGCTGGTCTATGGCCTTAGGAGCCGCATCCCCAGCTATAAATGGTTCATTCGATGAGGGAATAGCCTCACGCCGTA